TATATTATATATATATATATATATATATATATACATCCTTCAGACAGATAAGCTCATTATTTGTAATTCAACGTCACAATAGACGATCTATGGTCTAACCGAAGCTAACGACTGACAAAACAATGGTTACCCCCAAATCCGAAGTTCGTGAAATCTGGCGGTGAGTTAGTGGCTATACTTCTCAAGAAAACCTTCATTTGGTCCTCCATATGTATATTTTCAATTAGGAAAATTACATAGTCGTCAAACATCAGTCTCAGGAGGTGGAAAGAACCTAGGAAAAACCAGAACATTAGACTGTAGGCCTGTAAGCCTTGTTTACAGGTAGACATAGCCTGAACTCTGAAGTTAATAAGAAATGTTGACAGAATGTAGATGATCACCAGTCTTACTCATCACTGTATCTTTACATACTTAAAAAAGCATACATTACATCCCCCAATATATAGTTGTCCCATACACGTTTTTATCAAAATTCATCGTACGCTACGTTTAATGTTTCAGTTGACATTGATTGGGTCATGTACGTTTTTATCAGCGGTAAAAACTCAGGTTCTGTAACTTGCCCACCAGAAAAATAGAACATTCATATACAGAAAACACATTGAAAGCTAAAGAGAAGAGAAAAGCAAAACTCTTGGAAAAAAAAAACAACCTTACAGTTAAATGCATTGTATTTTTGGACACACGTATACCATCTGAAGATCTTTTTGAGTCACCCGGCGAGTCAGTGTTAAGTTTCGGGCTTAAACCCTAAAACTTGGGGGTCCAATTCTTCCGGTGGACAGCCGCAGATAGCTCATTATATGGCTTTGCGCTAAAACAAGTTAACAAGCTGAGGATTTTTACTTCTAAGCGTTTAATATAATGAATTTTTAAATAAACGTACATTTTACTTGTCTTTTTAACATTCAGGCGTTATTTTTACAATTATTTAATTTAAACACAAGATGATGAACCTTAGGTCACAAATATTTAAGATGTAAATTAGGCACAGACGGATAGGGGAATTGTCTACATAATCTACAACGTGAACATAAAACATTCCTTTAATATCCTGAAGAGCCGATACGTTACCAGTAAGTAAAGTTGAACCTCACGTAATTCAGGCATACAAGATATATGAAAGAGCAATAGAGGATGAACTCAAAGAAATTGTGTACCTGACAAGTGAATAAAAGTTAATGAGAATACTATACTACAGGAACAAAAATCAACTACTTGCTGGTTGATGTTATAAGTAATTAGCGCAAAAAATAATATGCATGTAAAGAAGCTCATATGCACAATATAGACATTGCATGAAACGTTTAGAATTACAGCAGAAATATAGCTTTTTTTTTGTAGGGTCATTAATAAAGCGTTTGGTTAAATTTATAAAGCCAAGTTTGCAAGTCAACTGTGTAGCACCGAAAGGCTAATCTATCACTCCAAAATCAAGAACGGTTAGCGCAGATAGCTCTCGAGCAGCTTCGCGCGAAATTCAATAAACAACGAAAAGGATGACTTGATTGGAGTGTGCGAAAAACAAGTTAAATAAGGGTTTTAGCAAAAAAGATATCAATATTACAGATCAAACTGTAACTGTTAAGTATTCTAAACAAACAATGCATTTATTTTCATTACAAATTAGGTAAGAACCAAATGTTAATGATGCGTTAAATAAAGGCATGAACTTACCGAAGCTGGTAGCGCTGTGTAAAGTCATGTCCCTTATAACATGTGTTCCAAATACTGACCACATCAGTAAAAACTGGCGAGACAGTTGACGAACTGGAATCTTATTTTTTGCTGTTGGCTAGGAAGAAGAAAATCAGAATTATGCCTGAACTGGTTTGGCAAGGCTCTGGGTCAGTTCTTGTGAACTGGTTTGGTAAGGCTCTGGGTCAGTTCTTGTGAACTGGTTTGGCAAGGCTCTGGGTCAGTTCTTGTGAACTGGTTTGGTAAGACTCTGGGTCAGTTCTTGTGAACTGGTTTGGTAAGGCTCTGGGTCAGTTCTTGTGAACTGGTTTGGTAAGACTCTGGGTCAGTTCTTGTGAACTGTTTTGGTAAGACTCTGGGTCAGTTCTTGTGAACTTGTTTGGTAAGACTATGGGTCAGTTCTTGTGAACTAGTTTGGTAAGACTGTGGGTCAGTTCTTGTGAATTAGTTTGGTAAGGCTCTCGCTCAGCTCTTGTAATAACAAATATTTCTTTAGCCGTGACCAAGGGTCTACACAATCTTTTTGTAGAATACTTTTGTTCGCTGTTAAATATAAGGCTACATAGTGGGCTATCTGTTCTCTGATTACTGCGGTTATCAAAACCAGAGTTCTACGGTATAAGCACCGAGAAGGAGGTTCTTGCGAAAGAAACAAGTTTGCTGAGGTGAGAACGTAATTAACTCAGCACAGCCGTAAATTTAAGTGTCAAAATTCCAGCTCAAAGAATGACTAAAACAATTTTCTTAGATATTTGAAAAGGACTTACGAAATAACATTTCCAATATTTACCAAGATAAAAGTTACAATGCTTTGAACGTTAATTGTTTATTTCTTACAAAAATATCAACAATTACAAGCATAGTCGTTATCACTACAAAATGTTCTACTAATATAATCGCTCGGAGCAGCTTCTATGTCTGTCAGAACAATTTATCTACTAATATAATCGCTCTGTCAGAACAATGTATCAACTAATATAACCGCTTTGAGCAGTTTTTAAGTCTATCAGAACAATGTGTCGACTAATATAACCGCTCGGAGCAATTTTCTAAATCTATCTGAGTAATATGTCTACAAATACAACCGCTCAGAGCAGTTTCTAAGTCTAACGAAACAACGTGTTTTTAGCGGATAGATTACTGAAATATAATTGTTTTAGATATTCACATAAAAGAATATATATAGGCGGGTGTGTTTAGATACTTACCAAGACGACACATCTGTTCACTAATGTATTCAACCACTCTGTGTAAGCTTCTATTGGTGCCTCGTCTTTTATTAAACACTCAAATTCCTTCGCCACTAAATATTTATAAGAGAATAAAGACAGATAACGAAATATAATGAAGTGTTAAATTGTGGTGTTAATATATAATATTAATAAGTTTTATAGGAAATATATTTTAGAAAATAAAAACTATATATATTATTAGCTATATGCTAATCAGTAAGATAAAGTTAGAAATTAGTATACTAATCAACTAAATTATTAAGACTAACATGTAAAAATCAACTAAATTATCGATGTAAATAAATTTAAAATTATTTTAAAGAACACTAAAGATCGATGAAAATTTATAATATTATAGATTTAAACAGAAGATTTTAAAATATAAAACTGTAAGAAAATATACCTTACAAATGATCATTTTAACACATGAGATGAAAAACGCGTACGATAATTATGTAATTAGGACATATAGACTAACAAAATTAAAATTATAATATTTTAGGAACTTAGAAACATCTTATTGATAATAGATGTCATCAAGGAATTGTGAATTTCATGAAAATTAACCATATTTCAAAGCAAAAAAAAAATAGCATTTTACTTGGATTATACAAGAAAGCATTATGGGTGGAAGTTTTCGAAAGGTTCAACAAAAAATAAACAAAGTTTCAGTACAAAAATGTAGAAGATATATAGATTAAAAATGAGAATGGAAGACAGTTTCAGAAATTTCATTAACAAACGCTGGCTGGAAAAATAATATCTAAAATTAGCACTGTAATTTAATTTAATTAATTACAGTTAGCAGTTAAAAAAATACCGCAACAGAAGTCTAGAAATAATATATAAGTGGACATTGGCAATAAGATGTTTTGAACATAAAAACTGTTGAAATGTAGAATAAAATTCTAAAACTATATAACATAATGTTCAATAAAGAAATGCCGAGTAATGCGAGTCCAATCCACTTCGGGATATTCGTTATTCCCAGGTAAGTGCAGATGCTACGTTTCAAGCTACGCCCACAAAACATTCATCATTGATACTTATATATAATCTTTTGTTTTTAAAGTTTAATCAAAGAAGGCTCAAATATTCATTCACACAAAGAGAGCACCGTTACTCATAGCACAGTCGTTCATATATGTATTGGATGTTTTAATCAGAATTCCACAAATTGTAACATTAAAAAATATAACTGACTGAAGAGTGAATTTTAAGGAATAAAACTGACAATATCACTGACATTTCAGTCCCTCCCTGTCTAAAATATTTGAAGTGTATCAGTAATAAGCTGAACCATGTACTAGTCATGCGATAATTAGTTCTGTTAAAAAATCTTAAAATACTTACAATTTAATATCACATCAAAAGTTGTTCCTATCTCATTCTGTTCTATACTATACAAAGTTTCCCGACAAATGGCAGTGATATCAATCTGCCTCCAGTCTTGCAGCATCTGTCCAATGATCTCACTGTTTTGCACCACCATTCGAGAAGCTTGAGCTAAGTGATTTAACGACATCTGCCGTCGAATAACTTGTATAAAACCTCTAGCAACTAAAAAAAAATTATTTATTCTAACAACATATTTTTATTTTTGAAGTAAACTCTTATATATATGTAACACATGCAATTTGGAAAAATCTTAATTAATAACAACATGTCTACTGCTTATAAGATTTGTAACTCTTAAAGAACAATGCACTACATTTTGAAAGTGTCGAATGGTTCATCCACCTACTTAGAGACGACACTAGATTAGCGGAGAGAAACGAATTCCAAACACTTCTATAAAGATGAATGAAGGATTTTCCAAGATGCACCTACAAAGAAGCCACTATATGTTGTTACATATTCATCAACTAAATACTGCGTCATTTCTCTATTCCTCAATATGTTATACGATCAGTGCCCAATTGGATTAATTCTTAAATACGCACTACCGGCACTTGTGTTTTAAAAAATTAAATTATAATGAGCAATTAAAAACAACGTTTTATATTTACACAACAAAAACTTTATTGAAGCCGTATGGCTTCCACTTTAAAATAGAAATATCACTGTACACGTACATGTTTCGACGTGATCTATGTCAGCAGCTCATATAAAACGTTGTTTTTAATTATTTGTTATCATTTTAAAAGAATGATTAATTCTTATTAAATAAAACGCTCCTAAATGGAAATATTCTGTGTAAGTGCCTTGTTTACAGTGACGTACATGGAGCTTCCTCAACAACTCAAAAAGCACGATCGAAAAAAAGAGAAAAGTTTTGTTTGTTTTAGAGCAAAGCCACATGAGGACACCTACTACGTCCACCGCAAGGAATTGAATCCCGGATCCAAGCGTTGTAAGTCTGTGAACTTACTTCTGTCCCACTGGGGGACAAAAGGAGAGCCAAAAGAGTAAGGAAGTTATATAGAACTCGAGAATTTTCGATAAGAAAAAAGTTGATGGTAGAATACAGCTGAAGGTCGGGTTTGATGAGACTCCGGTTGTTTATGAATAGAATCCCCCCCCTCCCAATGTGTTTTTAGTTAATTTCTGTTATGAACATTTTTGGGTTACTATAACCCATGTTTTATATAAGATATTCCCCAACGAGTCACGTTGCAAATACAAGGTGTTCGCGTTATATAAAAATTACAAAAAAGTTCCAAAAACGAAAAATACTCTGTAAAATATAGATGTTGTTGTGACACAGTTTCAGAAGTTCTCGCTAAACGAAAACATTTACTGAAGAATCGATTCGAATGATATTGTTTCGAGTTCCTCATTCAATAAAACGTATAACATTTATTACGTTCACGTTGCTGTTGTTCGTCTATACATTGGACTGATTTCAAGTAATCCATATTTTATTAACAACATGGATCTCGGTGAAATAATAATAATTAAAGAACTGGTTGAAGCGTCTAAACGACGTAGTATACGTGATGGTGGAGATTTATTCAAACACACATCTTTTAATCTATCAAATCGAATTTTTTTGGAGCTACCTAACATTCCAGTTAGAGTTAGCCCTCGGGTTTTCTGCATTTTCACATAAGATATATTATTTTTTACGAAACAAAATGCTAATACTGGCAACACGTTTCCTGCCAAGAGAAACCGAGAGGTCGATGATACTGAACGTTATCTGTGTATGTCTGTAAGTGTGAGAAAGAGCTTCATACGCTTTGTTTATAGCCCATTCTTTCTACTCTTTGAAACTACTAAGCTCTCCATATTTCTCATAGTATCTTCAGCCTTGCTTTCATACAGGTTGAAATAAGAAACATATTTGTTTATGTACTGGATAACTTATCTCATACCAGAACCAGCTGAAAGCTGTAGTTTCGACCTAGCTGGACTGGTGAGAGTTGTATATAATTCGAAGATGCAAGACTTAGCTAGTCATGGATTTATTAGGAACTGTGGGTGTGTTGAAAGGTGTTGGTTATTAAGCACAAAGCTATACAAAGGGCTATCTGTGCTCTGCCCATCAAGGGTATCGAAACCCGGTTTATAGCAGTACGAGTCAGAAGACATACAATAGTGCCACTAGGGGGTGCCACGAAGTGGCGGAAAACCCCAAGTAACATAAACAAACATATTTATCTATAAACATTTATTTTTCTGTTAATTATTACCACATAAAGGCTCCTAAAATTTAGGGTAGTGACAAGTGGCTGGTAAAAGAGACTGATGGAAAGTCTCAACCTCTTGAAATATCAGTATTTCAGTGGCCATTTCCCCACCAATCAACGACGGTTTACGGCTAAATTAATTAATACAACGGTTTCCTCAATAATTAAGCAAACCAAGCAGACTGTTAACTTGGAACTAACAGTTGTCAGATAGGCATTATCTTAGATCAGGCAAGTCTAAATACAGATTATGATTAATTACATCAATCAAGGTGTTTACAGATATTCAACAGTAGTGACTGCCCTCTGTCTAATAATGAAGGTATGCACCATCTAGAACACCTTGCGCAACAACGTTAAGCCTGTGTTACACGATGAACACCTACATCAATTAAGGTGTTTACAGACATTTAACAGTAGCGACTATCTACTGTCTATTAATGAGAGGAACACCTTGCGAAACAACGTTAAGCTTGTATTACACGATGAACGCCTACATCAATTAAGGTGTTTACAGATATTTAACAGTAGCGACTACCTACTGTCTAGTAATGAAGGTGTGCACCATCTAGAACACTTTGCACAACAACGTTAAGCCTGTATTACACGATGAACACCTACATCAATTAAGGTATTTACATATATTCAACAGTAGTGACTACCTTCTTTCTAGTAATGAGATGAACACCTTGTGCAACAACATTAAGCTTGTATTACACGATGAACACCTACATTACTCAAGTTGTTTACAGATATTCAACAGTAGTGACAACCTTATGTCTAGTAATGAGATGAACACCTTGCGTAACAACGTTAAGTCTTTACTTCTTCATCGGGATTCGGTCCATGTTTTGGACCAGGGAGGGTCAGGTTCAGCGTTGACCTGTTCCTCCCTCTCAGGAATTGTTATTTTGCTTGCACTGTTACTGAATCTTAGGTAATAATCCTTGTTACATTGTTGCATTACTCACAATATGTTAACTTTTGTCCATTGTCTGCAGTTTAAATAAACATACCCTTTTTTTGTGCCAATATCCAATTCATGGGGTAATATTAACTTGTATATTTTCACTAGCTTCACTTATGCATGATCGCACTATTAGTCCGTGCTCACAATACGGTTCCGCTCAGTAGTCATATACAAAATTTTATTTTTACATACAAAACCCTTTTAAAATAGGGTTATGTTTGTGTCTAAGACTCAATTAGCCTCGCACTACTTGGATTGTAACTTTCTTATTTATGATGTTTAGAAGTGAGAGGTACTTAGGGCTTGGTTCTTCACGTATTATTAGAAAACCATAATCGATATTATACCGAAACGTCGAAAATTCACGCGCCTATAGGCTCGAACCCTGAATCTTCTAAGCACCTAGCGATGCCTCGGTTGTTAACCTTAATAATCACTAAAGCAGTGCCAGGTTCATGAGATTATTTCGTGTCCAGTTTATTAAATGATGGATATTTAGAAAGCAAGGCCTCTGACTACGTTATTTTTCACAGGTAACTTTCCGATAAACTTGTCACTAAGTGTAACTTGAGTTTTCTGGATAAGCGTACAGAGTACGGATAGGTTATCTAGGCTTGCCGATAACTTGAGTTTTTTGGATGAGCGTACAGAGTACGGATAGGTTATCTGGGCTTGCCGATAACTTGAGTTTTTTGGATAAGCGTACAGAGTACGGATAGGTTATCTGGGCTTGCCGATAACTTGAGTTTTCTTGATAAGCGTACAGAGTACGGATAGGTTATCTGGGGTTGCCGATAACTAGATTTTTTGGATAAGCGTAAAGAGTACGTATAGGTTATCTGGGCTTGCCAAACGTTGTCAGCGGCAACGCACCGAACGTCTGGGTAAAGATGTGTCTTACTTATCTTATGTGTGTTGCAAAGTATGTCAAACAACTCATAGTCGGCTGTAAATAATCTATTTTTCCAGTGCTCTTAATTATTTTATTTTGATTTCGCGCACCATAACGGGACTTATAAACTATGCTGCCTCATCCTTTCCGCAGTTATGTAGTTTTTCGGCGTACGAAATGAAAGGATCCCGTGACTTACACATTGAGAACGCTGTATGACACCATTATGGTAAACTCACTGACACAAACTGTAGCCTTCTGAAATATATGAAAGTAAATAGCCTATCAAGTTTGTCTTTAGACTTATCATAACGCTAGCGACCAGTTACGTAAAGCTGCATGTATGACAAATAAAACTCTAGCCATAACCACACTTAGTAAAAGAATGATTTTAAAACTCACCTTCTAGCTTCATAGTTCGAAGATTTTCCGGTAGGTTAAAAAGTGCCGAACGAAGCCAGTAGTCGTATTCATGTACAAAGTTTTGTATAATTTTTGTTACACTGAGAAGAAGAAAATAAAAAGAACAGACAGCCCACGTTAACAGGAGATAAATAAAACATTGACGGATCATACTATGTAAAGAATAAAAGAAACAACAAAGAACAGAATAGGAAACTTGAGCCTGGAAGTAAAAAAAAACTTTTGGGGGTACGATTAATTTCATTAGAACATTTATGTAAGCATACATTATTACTTACAAACATTAATTTTACGTTGTTGTTTGTTTTGTTTTTATCGCCTTAAATCTCGTACCATCAGGAAATTAGGTCTCTACCATGGACCTCAGCAGCTTGACCCTTTCTTCTGACTCCAGTGATGTTTAGTGATGCAGTTTTTAACTTATCCATTAAAGCTTAATTACCTATTCAATTTGACAAAAAAGGACCTCAGCAGCTTGACTCTTTCTTCTGACTCCAGTGATGTTTAGTGATGCAGTTTTTAACTTATCCATTAAAGCCTAATTACCAATTCAATTTTACAAAAAAGGAAAATTGAATAGGTAATTAAGCTTTAATGGATAAGTTAAAAACTGCATCACTAAACATCACTGGAGTCAGAAGAAAGGGTCAAGCTGCTGAGGGACAAAAAAAGGACCTCAGCAGCTTGACCATTTTTTTCTGACTCCAGTATTTAATTACTCGGGGTGTTATACTATCTATATTTTGGTGCACGCGCGTTCCTATTGAATGCGAGCGAAAATAAGATAAACAAGACAGCACAACGTATATTAAACGCATGCGCAACATTAACCTGAATTGAGCGATCTTAACATAAACAACAAATGCGCGCTTAAAAGCTTCTTGGAATATTCGTTGGACAAAAATTAAAGGTTTTAGAGATAATGAATTGCATTACCTTTATGTCCTTGCTACGATACCATTGGAATCAAAATGTCACTTCAACTCAGAAATAATATAGACAACATATTTGTCATTCACTTTAGTTTCTATGGGGCGTCCTTTCACGCGTTTAAACGGATATTTTTAAGAGACGTTTCAGCTTGCTCTTCCTGTTTATCTTCTTCACGGTCCTTTATTATTATTTTTTAAAAATCGGTCAGAAGACAACGCGTTCTATTACAAAACCTAAAACTAACAAAAACGTATTATCACGTCTATTCAACAACCTTTATACTTAACAGAATGTTGGGCTAAAGTACTGTTCTCATTCGATTCAATAACTTATAATTGGATAATCTTTAAGTGATGGTGACTGGCTTCAAAAAATTGAGTGGGAAGCAATTGTAACATATGAAAGACTACTAACCGCTAGAACGAATACAAGGCTCAAAATTTCCTGTCACAAAACACCAAATGTTTAACATAATAACTTAGCTTAAAAATAGTTCTTTGTGATGTCAAAAACAGTTTACTAATAAGACATTCTTGATGTTACATAAATACCATTACTGAAATATTATGGGTTGTATCAATAACTTCAAATATTCATTTGATTAATATAATCCGTCAGAAATTATTTGTATATAAGCCTGTTTTCATGTTTGTTAATGGGATGACAATTTGTATTAATGCAGAAAAATCAAAATGATAAATATACAGTACACATATTGGATGACAACTTGCATCAGTGGAAGACACCAACACATTAAATATACAGTACACATATTGGATGACAACTTGCATCAGTGGAAGACACCAACACATTAAATATACAGTACACATATTGGATAACAACTTGCATCAGTGGAAGACACCAACACATTAAATATACAGTACACATATTGGACGACAACTTGCATCAATGGAAAACACCAACATATTAAATATACAGTACACATATTGGATGACAACTTGCATCAGTGGAAGACACCAACACAATAAATATACAGTACACATACTGGATGACAACTTGCATCAGTGGAAGACACCAACACATTAAATATACAGTACACATACTGGATGACAACTTGCATCAGTGGAAGACACCAACATAAATATACAGTACACATATTGGATGACAACTTGTATCAATGGAAGACACCAAAACATTAAATATACAGTACACAGGTTGGATGACAACTTGTATCAATGGAAGACACCAACACGTTAGATATACAGCACACAGGTTGGATGACAGCTTGTATTAATATATGACACCAATACGTTAGATATACAGTACACAGATTGGATGACAACTTGTATCAATGGAAGACACCAACACCTTAAATATACAGTACACAGGTTGGATGATAACTTGTATCAATGGAAGACACCAACACTTTAAATATACAGTACATACACTGGATGATAATTTGTATTGTTCAAAGTATAAAATTTAGATGATCTCCACACAAGATTATAAGTAAAATACCCAACACTTTAACAACTTTTATATTTTAGTTACATGTGATATATTATCTTAATTCATCACTGTACGCCACACTATAAAACTCCTAGTGGTACATACTAAGAGAATAGCACAGTTTTGATATAAACATGTTATTATGAGCTTATAAACTACATAAAGTCATATTTCCTATCGGAAGATAGATGCTGTTAGGTAGTATACTTTCAATTGAATGTTCTTGTGAAACAACAGGTAAGATGGACTTCTAAGAAATGAAACCTTATAATTTATTAAAACAGTTTGAATGATAAGATTAACGCTAAGAAATGAATCTGGTGAATTATTAAAAAGTTTAAATCATGATATTAATTGCTATAATATGTAACCTAATGGTGTATTAAAACAGGTTGAATAATCATAATATCAGTTGCTACGAAACCTAACCTAACTGTTTCTTAAAACAATTTGAATAATAATAACATGACTTGCTATGAAACCTAACCTGACGGTTTCTTGAAACAATTTTAATAATAATAATATGAATTACTATGAAACGTAACCTGATGGTTTATTAATTTTTTTAACAATATTAATATGAATTGCTATCAAACCTAATTTGACGGTTTGCTAAAACAACTTGAATAATAATAATTATATGAATTGTTATGAAACGTAACCTGATGCTTTATTAAAATAAATGACATATGAATTGTAAAATTCTATCAAGTTAACTTGGCATCAGTAGATTATGGCACCTGGTGACACCAAACGCTATTGAAAAGCTTTTTATTCCTGAAAAATCATCTTGAACTCTCCTTTTTTTCAGGGTCCTTTAAAATATTAAAATGGTGATAAGAAATCTTGGAAGCAATAATTACAACAGGAGTAACAGTCACGTGCAGGAAAAATATTATTTAATTATTTTACTACTTTTTCCAAGAGAATAATTTTTACACTAAGAGTACCAAATACAAATAAATGTGAATATCGTATTATATTTATTGCTCAAGTTATTACTTTTTCCTTGAAACAGCTATTCTTGACATTGTTAGAAGTGATAAAATAAACGGGACATTTTATTAGTATTTTGATTATTTACGCTCACTAATTTTGATCGTTTCAACTAAAATAACTTCAATAATTATAAGAGATATCCGTGAAGAAGGGTATCACTTTAACTATACCCCGTACAGAGTTGAATAACCAATACTCTAGTTAACAAACACTAAATCGCAAGTTAATAATACAGTATTTTAACTGTACAAACAATAATTCTTAGTTAACAAGCACTAAATCGCAAGTTAATAATACAGTATTTTAACTGTAAAACAATAATTATTAGTTAACAAACACTAAATCGCAAGTTAATAATACAGTATTTTAACTGTAAAACAATAATTATTAGTTAACAAGCACTAAATCGCAAGTTAATAATACAGTATTTTAACTGTAAAACAATAATTATTAGTTAACAAGCACTAAATCGCAAGTTAATAATACAGTATTTTTAACTGTACAAACAATAAT